CTTCTCCTCCTGCTCCTCCTCTCCGCCTTCTCCTCCTCCTCTTCCTCCTCCTCCTCCTCCTCCTCCTCCTCCTCCTCCTCCTCCTCCCTCCTCATCCCTCATCCCTCCCTCCCTCCCCTCCTCCCCTCCTCCTTTCTCCCTCCTCCCGCCTACCTCCTCCCGCCTACCTCTTGCCTCCTCCTTCCTCCCTCCTCCCTCGTCCTCACTCCTCCATCCTCTTCCTCCTTCTTCACAAAGGCCAGAAACAGCCCCAGGACGGCCACTTATGAGCTCCACAAGATGTGGGGACGGAAGACGCAGCATATGATGGCCTACCTCTTCCTCTTCATCAACTTCATCATACCCGTCGTCATCAACATCCCCACCACCATCACCATGGTCGACGTCATCATCATCATCATCATCATCATCATCATCATCAGCATCATCATCATCATCATCATCATCATCATCATCATCATCATCATCATCATCATCATCATCACCATCATCATCATCATCATCATCAGCATCATCATCATCATCATCATCATCATCATCATCATCATCATCATCATCATCATCATCATCATCATCATCATCATCATCATCATCATGATAATCATTATCATAATCATCACACTCATCATCATCATCAACAACATCATCGTCATCAACAACATCACCATCACCATCGCCGTCCTTACCAACTGCACTGCACCACCCTTCGTACCCTGAGAATTCACATCATCAACATCAACACCGTCATCATTATCAGCATCATTGTGGGCACACCGCTATCATCACCACAACCACCATCACCATCACCAGCACCACAATCCTGATGATCGTCGTCGTCATGACCATCTTCATGTTCTTCACCATGGCCATTACATAGGTAAACATCAGCATAATCATCATAATAATAATCATCATCACCAGCATCATCATCATTCGATAACACCAACCATCACCACCATAATCATTATCATCATCATCAGCATCATCAACCTCATCAACATCATCAGCATCATCAGCATCATCATCAGCATCAGCATCATCATCATCATCAGCAGCAGCAACATCATCATCAGCAGCAGCAACATCATCATCATCATCCTCATCATCATCCGGAGCGCCCCAGATCGGCGGCACTGGCCAGAGGCCAGCACATTAACCGAATCCCCCCTCCACCCCTGGCCTTCGCATTGGAAGGTCCTGCGTTCGAGATGTTGGGTTCGAGCTTGTTATGGCCCCGCTCATCCGGAAACGCTCGTTCAATAATAAGGCTGGGGTGCGGAGGGGGTTCATGCGAAATGGCTCCCAAACGCTTGTCGCAACAGTTTCCCATCCACGACATTCATAGATCCACCTCCCGGGGAACCGACGCCCTGGGACACCAGCGGGCGGTGGACATGGAGATGTTCTGGCCCCAGGCAGGGGGCCCGAACACATCCACACCCGCCGCCTGCCGAGGCCCCCGAAGATCCATCCCCCCAGCTGTGGCTCTGGATGCACCCCCGCCGCGGACGCCAGCTCTCGCCTCCTCCGCCGCCCGTCGCTCGCTCGCCCGAGCACCGCCGAGGTCACCGTCCCCTCCGGCATGGGCGGCACGGGCCGCCTGCACGGGCCAGGACTTGGACGCCCGAAATGGGTACGGAAAAAAATTGGCACAAGGCCCAACAACAAATGTTGTCCCAAACCAACAGCGGCCGCTGTCGGGCAGGCTGCCTTCTGCCTCACATGGACGCAGGCCGCGGCGGCGCGGACAGCGAGTCCTGTTCAAAATGAACAGGAACTGCTGTTGGGTATTACGCCTCTTGCCGGAGACTCTGCAGCACGCTTCGGCGTCGAAAGCCCGGCGGGCGGAGCGCCACGCCCGGCTCTGCCCGCGCTCGCCGCGCGCGGGGCTCGGGGCCCGAGGCCGCCCGCGCTCCTCCCCCCCGCCGGCTCGGCGGCCGGGTTCTCTCTCGCCTCTCCGCCGCCGCCGCCGCGCTCGCGTTCCTCCCTCCTCCTCCTCCTCCGTGCCCATCGCGCTCGTGCAGACGGGAGCCGGCCGCTGCGACGGCGGCCCTCCCCGGGGCGCTCTCCTCGCCCTCGCCCGGGGGGCCTCCTTGGGGGGGCGCCCCGCGGGAGCACCTCTGCTGGAGCTGCTCCGAGGGCGGCGGGCGAGGCTGGAGCCCGGCGGGGGCCCCGGGGGGCCACTCCGAGCGGGCGTGGGCCGCGCGGGAGGGCCACCGTGGTGTCTCTCCGCTGGCCCGTCCGCCTCCGCCGGCTAAAACAGGGCTATATAGGATCGGGATACATCGCTCCAGAGCGTTCCCGAGCGCTCTCAGAGCGTTCTGGAACGCTCTGGAGCGGCCGCGGCGCCCAAGACATCCTCCAAACCCGCCGATCCTCAGAGATTTCGAGTTATCCCGATCCGATTTGATCCCGATCTTCGCGTCGTTCTACCGGAGGCACTCCTCTGCCGGCGGCTGCTCTGCCAGCGCAGGAGGAGCCCAGCGGCGGAGCGCGGAGGGGTGGCGCGACGGGCTGCCGCGCGCCCCAGCCCTCACCGGTCCGTGTCGGCGTGGCCGCGCTCGCTGGTGCACCTCTGGATCAGCTCCTGGACGAAGTGGTGGCAGTTCCTGCGGCGGCAGGCCGGGGGTGACCCTGCAGGCAAGATCGACCTCTGGTGCGCGACTCTCGGGGAGCGCGGGAGGGCCCCACCCGAGCAGGGGGGAAGCCGCTGCTATGGCATCGCACTCGGCCATCTGTGGCCCAGGAGCCTGGGGCCCCCATGTGTGCCCGCACCAAAGGTCACTCCGGCGAAAGGTCACTCTTACGTGTACCCGTCGGCCAGAAGAAGTGGGTAGAAGCATGAAGTAGGAAGGCGTTGGAAGTACATTGGGCTTCCGCCCGTCCCCTGAGGAGGAGGGAAGAGGGAACACCGCTCGACTCTTGAAGTAGGAAGGCGCCCAAACTAGATTGGGATCTGGATTCTCCAAGAATACCCACTTCCAACGATCGACGTATGGCCGATTCCTGTTGTTCGACGGTGCTGCGTCGTACTCGGCACCTGCGCCGCCAGAATCTGTCCGTGCCCCCGCCGCGGGATCGTGCCCGGGGGAGCGGGGACTCGGAGAACGACGGGCATGGATACGCCTGCCCGCCCGTGCGCGGGCGGACAGCCGTGCACACCACTCCTCGAGATCCCAGGGCATGACTCCGAAGCGGTGGGTATGGATATGCAGTCAACGCGCCTAGTAAGGACGCGCGCCTTCTTCGAAGGTACCCTTGTGTGCTTGCCTCTGCGGCCCGTCCTTTGCCGTTTTCACTGGTCGCCCGTCGCCAAAAAAATCCAAGCGTCGGGTCCTGCGTCCTTGCCACCCGTCCTTGTTTCACGTTTTGACTGTACTCTGGCGGCGGCTGGAGCGATGGGGGTAACGCCAATGGGGGGGGGGCGGTGGCAGGTGCAACAGTCCGCTCGCGCGAATTGTTGCACGAAGTATTGCGAGGGGGCACGAACTGGTGCAAGGGGCGTGACCTGGCGCGTTGGAGAGAATGCACGATTGCATTCACGCGCGACGATTGGCGTTCGAGCCGCAAACCACCCACGCAACACATTAGAGGCCTCCCAGATGGGGTCCGAGTAGATGGGGTCGAAGGATCGCGCCGCATCGCCAATGCATCGCCGATGCATCGGCGACGCGTCGGCGATGCATCGGCGATACATCGGCGACGTCGGCGTGAGGAAGCACGGGCTCCACATCGAGCCGCATCGTCGATGCATCGGCGATGTGGCGCGATCCTCCGACCCCATCTACCCGGACCCCATCTAGGAGGCCTAGACACATACTTCAAGCACGATTGCACCTGTGCTCCGGCCCCCCCATTCTGGTGCTACCCCCCCACTGCTCCGGCCTACTTAGCGGAGCACCGTCCCAGGCCGCCAGGAGAGCTCGCGGAGCTCGTCCCCGGACGGAGCAGGTGTGTGAGGGGCAACGATACGGGGGGGGATAAGCATAGGGGGGGAGGCATCGACATGGCATCGGCGATACGTCGTCGATAGATCGGCGATAGGCCTCCGATGGTGAGTCCGCACCTTTCTGGGCAGGTTGGGGCTATCGGGCCCCTATCGGCGATCAATGGGCGATCGGAGGTCGATGCACCCCCTCCTATGCCTATCCCCCCCTGTCGTTGCCCCTGAATGTGCTGGGCCAGCTCCCCTCGAGGCGCTGGCCGGTGATGGCCGGCGGGGGGATCTCGTCCAGCTCCTCGATGGACAAATTGGTCTGGAGGTCGGAAAAGGGGTGTGGCCCAGAAGGCTGTGGTGCCAATCGTGGACATCGAGATGCTATCTAGGCTGGATGGCATCGCCAGGCTCAACATTGGCACCATACCCCTTTATGCCACACCCTTTTCTTACCTCCGGAATTCGTCCCCGCGCGGAGGCCGGCGCCCCAGTTCAGCCGGTACACCCGCTCCCTCTTCTCCAAGCCGGCCTCTGGGCGGCGCTGGACGTATACTTAGGTCGGGCATGTCCCCCCTACAGGAGGAGTTCGGACAAAAAATGAAGCACAGTCAAGGAATTCGCCAAAAATAATCAAACATACTAAAACAGCATCTTCTTCATATCATTCTCTGACGGCGTATTTTTGACTATTCCTCCTGTAGAGGGACAGGTCCGTCTTGAACGTATCCAGCAGGCACGAACAGGACAAGACATCCTGCTGCGAGAAGTTTGGGGGCACCGTGTATGCGGTCGGGGCAGGATGCCTGCAAAGCTCCAGCGGGTGCCCAGGGAACTCGAGGACGAAGGGCTGTCATGCCGGATACTTCTTCGGTGCGTCGGCCGTGCGCCACGTCGTCCGGTCGGCCGTGGGGCTCGGTGCGCCCAGACGCCCTGGGCTTCCCAGCCAAAAGGAGCGCTGTGCAGCGTCTTCACGCCGAACTCCCTCGCCGGACTCGCCCGCCCCTTGGCCGACCGAACGGCGTGGTGCATACGCAGAGCCCCCTCCGAGCCTCCTCGCTGAGCCTCACCTGGACGACCCCGAAGGAGTGCCCGCCTCCCAAGAGGCGGGGCCCGTCAGCCCGCGCTGGCGGCGCGCCGCGAGGTACCTGCGGAAGTCAGAGGCAGCAGCGTGGGCTGGGGATTCCCCGCTGCAGCATCCCGGCGGAAAACCGCGGGCAGCGCGTCCTCCTTCTCCTTCCTCCTGCTCCTCTTCCTCCTGCTCCTGGGCCTTCTCCTCCTTCTCATCCTCCAGGCCCCCCATCTTCCTATCGTGTCATTGGATTTCCTCCTCCACCCGTACCTGCCCCTGCAACCACTGAAACACGACCACGCCTGCATACCCCTCCTCATCGTCATCGTCGTCCTCCTCCTCCTGGCCGTCCTGCCCATCATCCTCTTCCCGCTCCCTCTATTCCTCCTCTTCCTCTCCCTGCTCCTCCTCTCCCTCGTGCTCCTGCACCTACTGCTCCTTGGGGGGATGCACCCGCGAGCGGATTCAAATGTGTCGCCTGTTTGCGGTTACGGTTGCGGTTGCGCCCGCGGGCGGGTTGAAATGTGCCGCCTGCTTGCGGTTGCGGTTGCGGTTGCGCCGGCAGGCATGTTGAAATGTGTCGCCTGGTTGAGGTTGCGGTTGCGCCCGCGGGCGGGTTGAAATGTGTCGCCTGCTTGCGTTCGCGGTCGCGCGCACGAGCGTGTTAAAATGTGTCGCCTGGTCACGGTTGCGGGCGGGTTGAAAAGTGCCGCCTGGTTGCGTTTGCGGTTGCGCCCGCGGGCTGGTTGAAATGTGTCGCCGGTTGCGGTTGCGGTTGCGCCCGCGGGCGGCGGTTGCGCCCGCGGGCGGGTTGAAATGTGTCGCCTGGTTGCGGTTGCGGTTGCGGTTGCGGTTGTGCCCACGGGCGGGTTGAAACGTGTCGCCTGGTTGCGGTTGCGGTTGCGCCCGCGGGCGGGTTGAAATGTGTCGCCTGATTGCGGTTACGGTTGCGACGGGAGGTGGGTTGATGTGTGGCCTGGTTGCGGTTGCGGATGCGGTTGCGCCCTCGGGCGGGTTGAAATGTGTCGCCTGGTTGCGGTTGCGGTTGCGCCCGCGGGCTGGTTGAAATGGTTCGCCTGGTTGTAGTTGCGGTTGCGGTTGCGCCCGCGGGCGGGTTGATATATGTCGCCTGGGTGCGGTTGCTGCTGCGCCCGCGGGCGGGTTGATATGTGTCGCCTGGTTGCAATTGCGGTTGCGTCCGCGGGCGGGTTGATATGTGTCGCCTGGTTGCAATTGCGACAGCGCCCGCAGGCGGGTTCAAATGTTTCCCCTGGTTGCGGTTGCGGTTGCGGTTGCGACCGCGGGCGGGTTGATATGCGTCGCCTGGTTGCGGTTGCGGTTGCGGTTGCGCCCGCGGGCGGGTTGAAATGTTTCGCCTGGTTGTTGTTGAGTTTGCGGTTGCGCCCGCGGGCGGGTTGATATGTGTCGCCTGGTTGCAATTTCGGTTGCGCCTGCGGGCGGGTTGATATGTGTCGCCTGGTTGCAATTGCGGTTGCGCCCGCAGGCGGGTTGAAATGTTTCGCCTGGTTGCGGTTGCGGTTGCGCCCGCGGGCTGGTTGAAACCTTTCGCCTGGTTGAAACGTTTCGCCCGGGCGGTTTGAAAAAATACCCCTCCAGTTCAGTTCGGTTCAACGCCATTTGATCGTTCAAGCAGCAAGTGGCACGGGATTTCACCCCGCCCAGCCAGGAATCAGAAGATACCCGTACCGCTACTCCTCGGACGTCTCCTGGGGCGCGCGCTGACCAGCATTCCGAAGAGAGAGAACCCAGCCGCGGCGACGAGGGCCCTCCAGGACGAGCAGCGGTGTCGGTATACCTTTTCCCTCTCCCCCTCTCTGAATACACCGGGGGAGACCAAGAGGTACCGACACCGCTCCTCCCCGGACCCCTCCCGGGGTGCGCTCTGACGAGAGCTTCGAGGCGAATCCGACGGTGGCGACGAGGGCCTCCGAGGAGGCCCCAAAAAGGGGAACACGGGCGGAGGGTAGAGATACAGGTATGGGTGCCTGCTCCTCCTCGGAGCACCTGGGCAGCGTCCGTGGCGACAGCACGTCCCTCAGCGGCCCCGCCTCGTTGAGCGGCTCCGAGCACCAGCACACGCGCTCGACGCTCTCGATGCGCCGCACCCGGGCGGCGGGCACCCGGGCCGCGCGCCCAGGAAGGGACGCGGAGCTCTGAGGCCAGGCGGAGCCCAGCAGCTGCCACGATGCGAGGCGGGGATTCATGAATAACCCACCGCCTGGGAATCCGAAGCCCGGGGGCCCCATTCGCCACCCCTCACGAGGATCGTGGCCTCCGATCGGGCGTGGCTGCAATCGACTACCCCCCCTCCCGCCCCAAGGGGCCCCCACGAGCCCCCTGAGAGGCCCCAGGGGAGCCCAAGACGCCGCCAAGGAGCCCCAAGACGCTCCCAAGAAGCCCCCAAGAGGCCCCCAAGGCGGCACCAAGAGGCCCCAAATAGCGCTCCAGGGCCAGCGGAATGAGCGAAGCGATTCAATAAACCAAAGCCTGGGAATCCGAAGCCCCGGGGCCCCACTGGGCGGTGGATGCGTGTGTGTGTGTGTGTGTGTGTGTGTGTATGTACACGTCGTTCATTTCGAATCGTGCTCGTTTCTAAGTGTGCTCGTTTCTATACAACTATTCCTGGCCCCCTAGTGGCCAGGAAGAGGCCCAGGATAGAACAATTAGAAATGAAAGCATGTTGGCCCCCCAGAAAATCAAATAACCTTCGAATAATTAGAAATGAACTATGTGTATATCCGCCACTGTTCGGGGGCGCACAAACATGGATTAGCGATCCATGGACTTCGCGCGCGGTCTCCAACTCCATGGATCGGGGGAGGTGCCCTCCCCAAAATGTGGCCGGTGCCGCCTCGTTCGGCGGCGGAAGTCCGCGATTTCCAATGAAAACGGGACCCGTCGCTAATTCACCCCCCTGAATCCATGTTCGCGATCGCCATCCGAAGCCCTGGGGCCCCACTGGGTGGTGGATGCGGATCGGTCTGTCTGTAGATCCGCGACCGTGCCTCGAGGCACGAGCTGAAGTGCCCTCAGGTCCTTTGCTCCATCCCCTGAGCCTGAATCCTCGACCCTGAGGGTGAAAAGAGCCTGGATCCCATATTCACAAATCTCCGTAGTTTCCCCGCGGTTCCCCTGGGCTCCCCCGCGGCTTGTCGCATGACTCTGGGGGGCCTCAAAGGGCCCCAAGATGGGGTCAGAGGGTTTCAAGAGGCTCCCAAGATTATCCGTGAGGGCCTCGAGTCGCCGAAAGATCGCACCAAGACGCCCAAGACTGCGTCCAGACGGTCAAAGAGGCCTCTAAGACGCTCCAGGAGGCCTCAAAGACTGCTCCCCGCAGAGCCCCCTCGCTTGTTCGAGCTCCTGATGCTCCACGACGTCCCAAGAGGCCCCCAAGACGGCCCCAAAACGGCCCAAGAGGCCCCCAGGAGGGCCACAACACGGCCCAAGAGGGCCCCAAGAGGTGCCCAAGACGGCCCAAAAGGGCCCCTGGACGGCCCCCAAAGGGTCCAAGCGGGGGAGCACGAACCAAACATCCGCCTTATGAAGCCCCCAGGAGGCCCCAAGGAGGCTCCAAGAAGCTCCCAAGAGGCCCCAAGGAGGCTCAAAGAAACCCCCAACAGGCCCCAAGGGACCTCCAGGGTTAAGGGGCCGCGAAGACGCCCCAAGAAGCCCCCAAACGGCATCCAAGAGTTTTCAAAACGGCCTCCAAGAAACTCCCGAAAAGCCACCCGCGACATCCCAACGAACATCCTGGAGGCCTGCGATCCGCAACCCAGGCAGGGTGGCGGGATGGGCCGAGGGTCAGTGTGTGTATATATAAAGATATGTATATATATATATATATATATATATATATATATATATGTTGTGTATATTCTTACATATTTACACATATGTCTGTGTGCATATGAGTGTCCACTTGTACAGCTTCGCATGTATATATATATATACACATATACAAATATTTATGTATATATATATATATATATATACACGCACGTGCTTACACATGTGCAGTCATATGTGCGCATCGACATCGACATCTGTATGTATATACATGTTGCACCAGAGAAAAAAAAAAACCCAACCAGTGGATTGATTGAAACTATATAGTGTAAGTATTGGCATCGATTGTGAGATCGGTCGTGACTCCGATAGTGGAACCGAGAGTGAGGACGCTTGTAAGGTCAATCGCGAAACCGAAACTGAAGTCCATCCAGTGAGATCGATGATGAAATCGATCGCGAGATCGCTCGTGCGGATCTATCGTGAGATCGCTTGTGAGATCGATTGTGAGAACGATGGTGACATCGACAGAGATGTGGGTAACGATATCGATGGTGAAACCGATCGATAAGAAAATCTACAAATAACCTCGGAACCCAGGAACCCGCCGCCCACCGAAATCGGCCCGGAACCCAGAAGCGGGAACCCGGGAACCAGGAACCTGGAACCCAGGACCCCGGCCGCCTACCGAAATCGGCCAGAAACTTTCACCAAATGCTTCCGTTTCCGCTCGGACCCCATTTTCAGGACACGCGCTGATGGGAGAATTCGTATAACTGTAAATCGATAGGCGCGTGTGTATATAGAAATGTTTCTCTTCGCAGCCATGTATATCTATGTATGTACGTATGTACATACATTTGTATATAAATATCGGGGTGACTCACAAGGAAGGTCCAACAACAAGGGGGGGTGCAATAGATTTGGTGCAACTCATGGCTAGTGTCCTAGCCAGTCCCCCTAGGCAGCTGCGGCGTGTTGGGGTGGAGTCATGTCTCCGTTCGCGACGTTAAACCATGCGTGCATTTCGCGAACAAAGTCGCGGAAAGGGGACGTTGCCGTCGGGATCCAAGAAGGGACCCCGAGTGCGTTTTTCATCTGGTCTTCCTCCTCGCATGTATGCCACGGCGAGACCCAGGCACGCCCAGATGGTTCCAGAAATCGCGGCCTTAACATAGTGCACGGTCATGTTGTAGCTGATGATGTTCTGATGCGTACTATTGGATATTGTCGCGTCCGTAGTGTTGCGATTGGGTGTCTGGTCTGACGTGGCCGTCAGCTTTGGGATAGGTATCGGTATTTGGATTGTGCGTGGCGTGTGGCCACGCGGTGGGGGGTTGGAGGTGTAGACTTGCAGGTTACCAACTGATTCGAATATAGTTTGGGGGTGTAGTGGCTTAGAACCAGCCCAGTCGGGTACTCCTTGTTGTGTACATAACACCTGATCTGAGAGCCAGCCACGCGAAGATGTAGCTAGCTCCACGACCAACTGAAACATGACGGTACAGGGCGTGACGATGAGGCAATAGGCTGTGAATCCGGCTCTTGGAATAACGTCGGAAACGTATCGAAGCATCCGACAACTCATACCTTGGTGGCAAGCAAGACGAGAAGTAAGAGAGGAGTCGTGGGATGGAGAGGTGGATCATAGATCGACGCGGCTTCTGTCGGATGTGATGACCCCAGTCGGGGCGCACAGAGTCGTGTGCACCGAGCAAATAGGACAGCGCTGCCTTGAGCCAAGACAGCGTCGGATATAACGTTCGCTATACAGCCTCTCCTTAAACCTCGCTTAAAGTCCCTAATGATGTAAGGCAGCCCTGGATAGCTCCAGGAGCAGCCCAGAAAGGCCCACGAGGGCCCCGAGCACCCCAAAGAAGGCCAAACAGGGATACACACACACACTCACACACACACACACACCATCACGCGGGTCGTGCCCACAAGGAACACCACCTAAAGGCCCAGAGACATGGTTCGCACAACGCCCCCCCGGCCATGTCCGCACACCCGTCACGCAAATCAGGGCCCAGCACCAATTTGCAGCTTCGCTTGGCGCCCCCCCTCCCATTTCGAAACATACAGAAGCCCAAACCTGGGCTGGGGAAAGTTCGGTGTTCGTCCCAAGGACCGGGAACTCATTGAATAACAACATGTGTTGCAAGTTTGTTTAAACGTAAGCATTTTTGATGTGTCTCAGAGGCAGTGTTTGGGGCCTCTTGGGGGGCGTCTTGGAGGCATCGTGGAGGCTTCTCGGGGGTATATTGGAAATAATGTTGGGACCTCTTGGAGTGTCTTCCCAGGGGCATCTTGCATGGCTCTGGGGAGCCTCTTGGGGCCTCTTGGGGGCCTCTTGGGGCCTCCAAGGCTCGAAACTTGAATTTGGTTTTCCTCCTCTGGGACCCCTCTTGGGCCTGTCCTTGGCCCTTCTTGGGCCGTCGTGGCGCTCTCTCTCGGGGGCCTCCTGGGCCGTCATGGGAGCCTCTTTGGCCGTCTGGGACGTTGTGACAGCCCACGAGGAGAACATGCTATATGTGTGTGTGTGTGTGTGTGTGTGTGTGTGTGTGTGTGTGTGTGTTCCTGGGCCCTCTTGGGGGGCCTCTTGGGGGCATCTTGGGGCGTCTTGAGGCGCCTTTCGGGCTGTCGCGGTGTCATCTGGGGCCGTCTTGGAGCTCTCGTGGGGCGCGTCTTGGGGCCTCGGGGGTCATTCGCAGGCTATCTTGGGCTGTCTCCAACGGTCGCCAGGGGAGGTCCCCTGGGAGAGGGGGCACCGAGCACACAGGGGGGGGGGGGCTGCCCGGAGCCCTGGGGCCTGGGACCTCCCTGGGCTATGAGTATTTCCACATCCGCCGCCTGCCAGGTGCCCCCGGACATCGAACCCCCCCCCCGGGCAGCGGTTGTGAATAAGTCCTCGCCTCGGACATGACCCGCCGCCGTCGCGGCCTGTCGGGTCGGGCGAAAGGGGGGGATAGCAAAGGGGCGGTTGAGAATCAGCTCATGTGGCTGACTTTCCCGGCGCCTCCCGGCGCCGGAGGCGGCCATGTATCGAGGAAGGGGCCCCTCGGTGGGGCCGAAACCAGCTGCATGCAGCAAATTCCGTACCCCCCCCCTTCCCAATCCCCCCCTTTCGTCCGTCCCGAGCCTGGGCCCTCGCACCGGTCCGCCCAGAAGAACGCGTCGAGCCCTCGGTGCGGCAGCCGCGACGTGGAGGAGGGCGAGCTCCTCCGGCGGCGCGCACGGGAGCGACGGCGCGAGGGGGGGGGTGGCCTTCCTGAGAGGGCGTCCGGGAGGGCGAAGGCTCCTCAGAAGCCGGAACATGCTAATACATTTAACACCCAAAAAAATGAAATTGAAAACGATATGAAAACTGGTAATAATAGATATTTGGAAAGTTTTGGAAAGGCCCCCGCCTTCTTCGAAGCCCCCGCCGCCTTCTTGCAGGCCGCCCCCCCCCGCGCTGCCCCCCAGTGGTGCGCGCCGTCCGCGCCTGCTGCGAGACGCGCCCATCTGCTACAGGCGCGGGCCCTAAGGCAGGGGCACCACCCGGCGGGCCGTGGGCTCGGTGGCGGCGACAAAGGGCGGAGAGCACAGGGGCGGGCAGTGTAGGTCTTCGCCCGGGAGCCTCGTCGAGGACATGGATCATCGGCGCGGTGGGGCCTCAAGGCCCAGCTCGGTGGCATGGTGTTTCGTGACGTTCTCCAAAATCGTACTGGCTATTTTCACGAACTCTTCCTTAGGAACGTTGCTCCTCAACGATTGCTCGTGGGTCTCCAGCGCCTTCACGGTAGACTCTTTGAAGAAACGCCACATGCCACGGTGAACAACCCGCATGGCCTCCCGGACGGAAGACCCTCTGGGAACCACCAGCGTGTATACATGTATTGCTCTCCCCTGGGCTATTCGCCCCTATCGCCGCCTCTGATGTCACAAGCCTCGAACGTATCCCTATCCCTAAGGTTGACACGCCAGAAGGCGATGACAATCTTAGGGAGTCGCCCTCAAAACATGAGGAAATCCGCAAGATTGGCATCGTGATGAGAAGGCGCCCAGCATAGGGATAGGGATATGTTCCAGGCTGGTATTTGGACGCCCGAAATGGGCACCGAAAAAATGGGTACAATGCCCAACAGCAAATGCTGTCCCAAACCGACAGCGGCCGCTGTTGGGCAGGCGGCCTCCTGTCTCGAATGGACACAGGCCGCGGCGGCGTGGACAGCGAGGCCTGTTCAAAATGAACAGGAACTGCTGTTGGGCATTGTACCCATTCTTTCGGTACCCATTTCGGGCGTCCAGAATAATGATGGGCTCCCCCTGCGGGGGCGGCCGGCGCGCGCGCACGCCGGCGGGGGGGCTCGGGCCAGGGAGGCCAGGCGGCAGGGGGGGGCGGGGGCGGAGCAGCCCCAGCCGAAAAGGAGGCCCGGAGAACCGAGCGCGCGAGTTTTTCCACACGGGGCGTGGCCATCGCCGAGCGTCGGAGCGCGGGGCCATCGCAGAGCGGCCCGGCTCGGAGAGTGCCGCGCGAAGACTGGGCTGAGGGCCCTGGGGTAACGATTTCTGCTGCGGTGTTGCAGCCATGGCGCAACCTCGGGGGTCAGGGCGTGTCGCAAGAGGAGAGCGCACGCGGCGAAGCACTGGCCTCCGGGGTGTCCTCGACGGGGCCCGCCTGCACAGTATGCTAATCCACCCCCGCAGACATGTGCACGCGGACGCATGCAGACGCACGCGCGCACGCGCGCAAGCACGCGCACGCGCACAGACACACGCAAACGCGCGCACGAGGGCGCACATGTACGCACACGGACGTTCACATGGCCGTGCACGGTAGAACTCCGTCACCGACAGGCACCGACAGGAAGACTACGCGCAGAACGAAATGTCACACTGCATGCACGCGAGTATACGTACCGCAAACATTATGATCACTGAAGCGACCAGGACGCAACATGTCAACGTTTCTGTGGAAGCAGACGGGCACCAGCTCGGATCCCCGAAACCGCTCTGTACTACGATTGAAGATTGGGTTTCAAGCGGGCGCCCGCCTTCTGGGGGGGCATAGATGGTAAGGCGATGTGCAGGCGAAGCTCGAACGTGAGATATGGGCCGAGTACGTTCGCGGAGATAGCTTGGCCGCAAGCGTAACCCAAATTCGTCGTACCCCGCCAGAAGAGACGCACCCGGATCCCAGCATTACGCGACAAGGTCCATGCAGAACAGCCTGAGCCCATGGCTTAACCAAACACCACCGCAACGACAAAAACTCTTGCGCTTTACGTAGTGAATGGCGAAAGTACTGGCCGAATGGCGCCCACTAGTGCACAAGTCTGGCCAAGATATTACACCCACGCACACACACACAAACACTCATCCGATCTCACGCGTATACGCGCTCAGTCGCACATAATGCGCATACGCAGACACACAAACCACTATCCCAAACTTCCAGACTGATTCTCGCAGCCCCCGCCCCGAGGCCAATCAGTCTGCCAGGTCCTGGGCGGGATACGCAATCAGCTGCATCTCTTCTGCCAAAACCCTGTGACAACACGGGCCACCCACGGCAAAGACCCGCGGGATCCACGTGGCTCTTGCCCCCAAGTGCCGAGCGTGTACCCCGATATGCGCGCCGCTTACCAGCGCCACCGCCTTCTACGCCACCGCTGACATCACGGGAACCCTCCCCATCAGCATCACCAGCTACATCGCCGCCATCAGACACATCGCCGCCCACCGACGTCGTCACCACCCTCGTCGTCACTGGCGTTGTCTCGCCGCAGTGCACAGACGGCGCGCTCCCGATCGTGCGTACCTGGCCCCCCGCGGTCCTGCCTTGCCCCGAACGCCAACAATCGCTTTCGGACTCGTGCCGCGCGGGCTCCCCCGCGTTCCCCCCGCCTCTGACCCTCCATTTCCCTGCCCCGTTCCTCGGGCTCTGCCGCTGTCTGATCTGAATATATATATATATTATATATTTATATATATATTATATATATATATATATATATATATATTTGATGTATATATCTATACACATCAAAATGAAGGGGCCGAACGGTAACCACGAACCGCGACCCACCCGCGACCCATCCCGGAACGCCCGCGACTCACCCGCGAACCACCCGCGACCCATCCGCGACCCACCCCGCGCGACCCACCCGCGACCCACCCGCGACCCACCCGCGACCCACCCGCGACCCACCCCACACCCAACCGCGACCCACCCGCGACTCAACCCGCGACTCAACCCGCGAACCACCCGCGACTTACCCCGCGATCCACCCGCGAACCACCCGCGACCCACCCGCGACCCACCCGCGACCCACCCGCGA